ATTCAGTTGCTATAATTGGATACCTTCAATGGGCTATATTTATTCAGTGCATTATAAGTTAGTACTTCCATTTTTTATTTTGATGTTCATAGTGTCCTCAATATGGCTGGTGGGACTCTTTTCAATCCAGATTCTTCTTCATTCTCTCATAACCCTCATATAACTGTCATCATCATTTATTAAGTATTTGTTCGTTTTCCATCATATGAAAATGTTATGGGTTCATTTTACACTTCTGTTTGTGCATAGTTTTATACTTTTATATCCCTCTCAAATCACTCTCTTTCCAAAGGGACCTGGTTACATTCAGGGGAGGATGGCATTTAAGTAGTCCCTGGACTTAGGGGATGCTCATTGCTACTGGTGTACCACTCTACTCTTGTAGGTCCCCTTGTCAGGTATAAATAGAACCAAATATATATGCACCTAAATAATATATGTTCACACAACATATGCACATACATTCACCTGTAACTATTTGTAGACCTAAGTGTATATATGCATTTATACATCCATGTATTTGTGAAACCATGAGCTTATGCCAGTTTTTCTAATTTCCTTTCCCTGTCTCAGGGTACATTCCAGCCTATTCCTTTTCTACACTTATAAATATTTTTTTCAGAGACTGAAAACCTTCACTCTATCATCTTAAATACACTTACTTGTTCATTCAGTATTCCCAATCTTGTAGTCATCATAATTGTCTCCCTGTCTCTTCTCACTCCTCCTCATCAGATCCACATCCTTAGCTGCTGGGCCCACTGACCTTCTCTCAATATTTTTTTTTAATCATCCCCATGTCATTGTCTACCTTTTTGACTCGTCCACAATGAGAAGTTAAGAGAGACTAGATGGAAAACTAAGAGGGAAAGAAGGTGAGTGCCGACGATTTAGTGGCTAGAACTGTGGGCAGACTTAAGCCCAGACTGAGCGTGTAGCTGGAGTGGAGAAGAGTCTCAGACTGCTCACCTGGCAGATGAAAAGAGCACCTGGGGTTTCTGAGGGATGAGGCCTACGACTTCAGAATATGTACTGCATTTTTGTTCACTGTGTATGTGGTCCACTAGAATATAGATGCCACAAGAGCAAGGGCCTCTCCTTGTCCACTGTGACTATTCTTGGTGCCAACTCGAGCACCTGGCACTCATATACAGAGTACAAAACACAGGATGCTCAGATCATTAGTTTGGACCCAGATTTTTGAGGTTAGAAAATGAAGACTGAATTTAATTCTTTTTTGATGAGGAGGGATATCCAAGTCCTTCATGGGAAGATAGGGACACAGTATAGGTTTCGGCAAGATACCTCGGGAGACAATGAAAATGATAGATTCAAAAATAATAGTTTAGGGCTAGAGAGATAACTTAGCAAGTTAAGGCACTTACCAGCCGGCCTGAAGACCTGAGCTCAATCACTAGGACCTACATGGTAGGAGAAAACCCATACCTACCGATTGTCCTCTGACCTTGACATGTAGGTGATGGCAAGTGCATATACATGTGCATAAATAGGTAAATAAATATAAATTTAAAATTATTAAAATTGAAAGGCTTAGAGATTGATGGCGATATTAGAAAAACTCTACACGGTTATCTAAATTTCAAGGTGCACATTTAAAAATGTCATAACTTTTTGTTTTATGTCATAAAATTGTCTCATATATTGTGAGAGAACTCGTAAGTTTCTAAAATACATTTTTCTTAGAAAAACAATTCATCATCAATAGTTGCCATCTTTGAAGTACAAGGAATATTTTCCTGAAATTCTGTCATCATTTCTAAGAGTTGCTTTTCTCCTACATTTTTGTAAAGCATTTAAAAATATGTTTAATTTTGATTGTCTAACTTATTCATTTCTACAGTGTAGGGTAATACCATAACTAATCTTACATTGTCAGGATACTTTATTGGTGTTTTTCATGAATTATTTTTCAGAGTTGGCTATAGATTTCATAGGGGCAGAGACTTAAATATTGATTATTATTTCACTGATCTCCGTAAGTTGCTCTTAAGGAGAACATTCAATACTGGCTGGTCTCAAATGTGCTATTGCTGTATTTTAGTCCTCGGTGCTGGGATTGCAGGTGGGTGCGACCACACTCTTTCTGGGTCTTTCTGGGTCAAGCGCTTGTCAGGGACTGTTTGAAATGTCACCCTGCTCAGTCACTAACAGGTTTTCCTGTCACTGCTCCTGCTCCTTGGTGGACAACATATGGTACCAGGGTGAGAAACAAGTGACTCCATCAAGGCAGCATCCTGCGCCTCATTTTCATTTGTATTGAGTGCCCCATCTCACCTCCCATTCCCACAGAGGTGTTGTGAAAGACCCATGGTAGATATCTACATGCAGGGAGTTACACTCAAGGAGAGGTTCCCAGGGATTGTGAGCCACTTTTTTTTAAAAGATTAATTTATTAATTTTGTGTATGTGTGTATAGGAGTGTTTTACCTTCATGTATGTAAGTGTACTGTGTGTGTACCTGGTGTCTAGGGAGGTCAGCAGATACAACCAACTCCCCTGGAACTAAAGTTACTAATCGGTTTTAGTAGCCACATGGATCCTGGGAACCACACCAGGGTCCTCAGCAAGACCATCCAGCGTTTTTATCTATCAAGCATCTCTCCAGCCTGGCCACCATTGCTTCCTACTAGGGGCAAGATGTTACCTCATTCTTCAAGGTTACTCTGAAAACATAACTTAGAAGGGGCCTGCAGAAAGACTTCTCCTTTTCAACATCTCCTAAAATAATGTGCAGGGATGAGGAGGACCTGTGCATGTTTCCAGAACACCATGTCAGTGAGAAAAACACTCAAGCTCCTAAACTGAACTAAACTAAATCTAAAACACAGTTTCTTCTGGAGAAAAAAATCAGAAATCTTAATTAGCATCAGATGCTTCTCTCTACCTAGCTGCTGCTGCTGAAGATAAAGTTTGCCATCATAATATGGATGCACAATTGAAAATTTAGTGAAATTCATTGAAAATCATTATTTTGAGTATTAAGTTTTAAATCTCAAATTAGCTTTTGAATACGGCCATGCTTTCATAGTTTTCTTCAAATATGATGGACAAATTGTGATATTTGAAAACCTGACCGTCGGCCATGCATGGTGGTGCATGCCTTTAATCCCAGCACGTGGGGGCCAGAAACAGGTGGATCTTTTTGAGATAGAGGTCACCCCAGTCTATATAGTAAGTTCTAGAACAGCCAGAACTACATAATAGAAAGACCCTTTCTGAGACAGAGAAAGAGAGAGAGAGGACTGAAGAAGGAAAGAAGCATGATGATGCTGGCGTTATCATCACAACTCCCCCTCGGCGACAATACCAGCACTGTTGAGAGTTTATTGCGTGTGCATCAAGCACCACACCAAAGTGATTCTACAATGAATACACTCGTCTATCAATGATCCTACGGACACTGTACTGTTGTTACCCATAAGAAGAAACTGGGGCATGCTGCAGAGATTAAGAGAACTGGCTGCTCTTCCAGAGGACTGGGTTTGATTGCCAGTATTCATGAATAGGCTCACAACTGTAACTCCAGTTACAAGGGACCAGACATCCTTTTCCTGACTCTTTCAGAACTAAGTAGGAACACAGTACACAAATATACATGAAGGCAAAACACTCATACACATAACGTTAAAAAAAATACAAGAGGAAATTGAGGCAAGGAAAAGTTAACTCATTTCCCTGAAGTCACATGGTTACAGTGCCCATTAGGATGCTTCCACTAGGATTGGCAGAAACTGCCAACCGGAGACACACATTATGTGATAAAAACAGAAAGAACAGGGGTGTGGCAGGTTTCAGAACTAGCTAGTTCTCTGGCAGAGGCCTCTACAGCTCTGCCACTGTACCCCTAGCAGGTCTGCCCCTGCTGCTCAGCAGAAGAGTAAGAAAAATGTCTACATCACAGCCTCTGCTTCTATTGGACTTTGTTGGCTCGTTTGCATGCTTGCATCCATCCTTTCTTCCCTCCCTTCCTCCCCCCACCCCTCAGCTGACATTTTAGAAACAAAAGGTTGTGATAAGTTTGATCAAATTGATGGGTACATGCAGAAAATGAGCTTATTTCTAGCATTTGAAGATGCTAGTCATTATAGAGCTGTGAAGGAGTGTGCAAAGGCTGGCCCCTGGCCCCCAGATGCTTCAGGGGTAGAGTTTGACAGTCAGTTACAGGATGGTGATTATCTAAAGTAGGGCTCAAGCTTTCTGGCTTCAGAGCCTCTTAGAGTTTCTTCAAAGTGTTGACTACTTCAACAAACTTTGGTTTACATTCGTTGTATCTATTGATAGTTGTCGTAGTCAAAATTAAAAAGTAGAAATTAAATGCATATTTATAACTCTTTTAGTATAGTGATAAAAAAATCATGTGTCAATATAAATAACAAACTTTAAAGAAAATGTAACCATATTTTTCAGAACCCCAATTTTAAGGTGGAAGGTGTCACTGTTTTTTCAAATCTTTTTTATGCCTGGCTTGAAGGCAGGCAGAGGATTCATCCCAGTCAGTTCTGTGTTCCAGCAGTTACACAGCCATGGAACACACCAGTGAACTTTTGTGAGAGAATCCTAGGGAAAATGAAAAATTCCTACTATTACTATGAAAAACTAAGTTTCCTCCTGCAGATTACCCCACAGAGTGTTCTGGAGCCCCAAGGATTCTCAGCTCACACCAGGAGAATCTCCATCTTGATGTGCTTCTGTTAGATATGCCCATGCATAAATTATAATCATCTCTAACAATAACACAGGATAAGATACTAAGATAATAGACTTAAGTACATCAGAAAAAATGGAAAAAACACACAAAGACTAGGGTGCCACAGTGTAGGGAATCTGACAACCAGGCCAAATCCAAGTCATGCATGACCAGATATTCCAGAAGTTTCTTTATTGAGTAGTCTCTTGAAGTATTGTAAATATAATTGAATTTACCTCCAAATATGTGTGCTTGCCTTTTTCTAAGGAAACTTAATCTATTCTCTTTCCAGACTTACTATTTCAGAAGATTTAAAGGTTGGCTTTTTCACCTCAGATCATGCTACTCAGACAGATTGCAGTGAAATTTTGCCATTGAAAGATTTGACTCAATCAACAGAAAAGTTAATACAGGTAAATCTGGGTGTAACTTCTAAAATAATTTTGTGTGTTGTTTGTCTTTATAGGGTAATTTTTTGTTTGGGGGGAGTAAGTGTACTAGAGATCAAACTCAGTGTTTCATGAATGTTATAAAAAGCACTTATCGCTGAACAACATCCCTACACATGTGGTTTTATACGTCTTTTATTGGCAAAACTGAAGTGATTGAGATTTTCTCAATTGAGAGTGTCTCAAAATAGTAAGGTCTTTGGGAAACTGAGCAGACTGAACGCTGTATTCTTTTTTAATTCTTAAAGATTGAATTGTAACTTTGTGTACATGTGTGTTTTGTCTGTGTACCTCATGTGTGCCTGGTGCTCCGAAAGGTCAGAAGAAGGGATCAAATGCTCTGGAACTGCAGTTACAGATGGTTGTAAGTTACCATGTGGGTGCTGAGACCTGAACCCAGTCCTCTGCAAGAGCAAAAGGTGTTCTTAACCACTGAGCCTTTGCCCCGGCCCCCAGCTGTACTTTATAATATCTATTCTTTTTACATCTGTGAATATTTTCTCCTTATGATACATTAAGAAACGTAGAAAATATTTTACATATAGATTATTGGTGAAATTATTTTGGCCACTCCACTTAGTTAAAAGGAAGATTTATTTAGTGGGCAACTTACAAGAAGGGAAAGGTAGGTCGCAGAGTCTGGGAAAGGTGTATCGCAGTCCAGCGGTGTTCTCTGGAGCTCTGCTCGGTCCACCTCCAACGTTCAGGGTCCCGGCACAGAGAGAGTGCTCGCCCATCCAGCTCTCGGATCTCCAGGCGCCTCCCCTGGCCCCGCCTCATAGGCGTAACAGTTGCCAGAGTCTCAATGGGGGTTGGAACTTCCAGATCCAAGCTGAAATGGCTACCCATTACAATAGATAAATGAAGACAATGAGATACTAAATAACTTTCTAACGGTATAGCTTGGTCAAAGCATATCATTTCCTTTGGATCTTTTGAGATTGAAAAAGAAGAATATTTCATAAATAAGATACTGAGTTATTAAGACTACTACATGAATTGAAATACTACTACATATTGTCTCAGGTGCTTTTTATTTTTCACCTATTTGAAAATCATTCCAAATCTATACATAAAAATCTTCCACATAGTTGAATACAGTAACACATGACTGGAATCCAAGCTAATCAGGAAGCTGAGACAGGAGGATTGCTTGTTTGTGGCCAGCCTGGGCAACTTCATGAAACACTGTGTCAAAAATCACATTCAAAATTTTAAAAAAAAAGGGGGGGAATAAAAAACAAAACCAAAATCAACTGGGGAGGAAGTGTAGTGAGATAGAGTGCTTGTCCAGCTTGTGCAAGGTCCTGGGTTCAATACCCAGTGTCTGCTTTATCCCATAGCTATGGCACAAGATGTACATCATATATTTGCTATTCCTGTATTGATAGACATTTTGGTAGTTTCTAATCTTTCTCTGTGATGAATAATCCTGCATGGACTCAAGTGCCAGTAAATCTGTGGCGTAAATTCTTAAAAGGGAATTTGTGAGTCAGAGGGTATGTACATGAGTCACTTTGAAGGGCACTGCCAAGTTGCCCTGCTGAAAGGCTGTACCTTTACATTGCTAAGAGCTTTTGAAGATGTCGCCTTGCCACATGCTTGTCTATTTATTGTCTTCTTTTAGAATGACATTTTCCAGCAGTATCTTTATAATGTTCTTCCTCGGTAGCTAGGTGTGCCCAAACTAAGTTTTAGTCAGGAGGATTTAGATGGCAGTGGTGTGGGAGCCTTGGGAACCTTCTTTGAGACACAGTTCACAAGCCCTGGCTTGCCTCCTCTTGCCTCCTCTTCTACTTCCTCCTTCCCACACCCCTCCCTGTCTTCTGCCCCAGGATTTTATCTCATCCTAATCACATCCCCAAGTTTTCACCTGTGAACAGCATAGTCACACTAACATTTTATTTTCTTAATGTTTCATGATGGAGATTAAATTCCAGCATAAGTCTGGGAAGGAGCAGGCCATACTCAAACCATACTACTCCACTCACATATCTTAGTTTTGAAATCAGACATCATTTTGAAAACCTAGACATAGTGAGAAAGAATTATTGGACTTCTCTAATAAACCATATCAGAGAGATAATCTTCAAAGGGAAGCCAAGTGCCAGGTCAAATGCCCTGCACCAAGGAATGTGCTGGAATATTGGTACCCAAGACCCTGTTCTCTACAGTGATGAATGATTTTTATTTTGTAGATGATTACATCACTTCAGGTGGATTTTGGATTCCTCAAAGATTTGGTTCAGCTGAAGTTCGAGGACCGACTTAAAGAGGAGTCTTGGAAAATCGTCAGTGTGCTTAATGACAGGATTTTAGAAATGAAAAAATATTATCGACAGGTAGGTACCCTCTCGTTCGCTCTGCTGTGTGAACTGATCCTGTGTTGGATGTGTATGGGTTTGAACGCAGTCACTTATCAGGGTAACTGCAGTTTTGTAAGACATGTCTCAGGAGCTAATACTGTCAGGAACTTGGGTGAACACTTCACGTGTGACCTCAGTAATCCTCACACTTACCTTGTACAGTTGGTATGACTATTAGTTATAGGGAAACAGGTTAATTTGCTCACAATTACCCGTCAGGCAGCAGAACTTTAGATTCTCTGCCAGATGCTTGCTCTTGAACGTTTTTTAAAAACAGTACTTTTGTTTAGTTTTCAATAATTTCTTGCATATGTACAATGTGTTTAATCATATCTATCCCAACTCCTTCCTCCAACTCCCCCAGACCTTCTCCCAACACATACCCAGCCACCCTACTTTCATGCCTTTTTTTAATAATCCACTCAGTTCACCTAGTGCAGCCTGCATGAACATGTGCAGCATATCAGTGGCCGTAGAGCCAAAGAAAAATGGCTTCCTTCCCCCAGCATCCACCAGTTATCAACAGTTCCTTAGCTAGGGGTGAAACCTCATGAACCCCTCCCACTCCACATTGGAATTTTTGACTGGCTTGAAATAACACGGGTCTTGTTTAGGTAACCATAGCTACTAAAGATCCATGACATGGTGGCCACGTCTCAACCAGAAGAAAGCATCTCACAGCAGCCCTTCTCCATTCTCCAGTGTTTACACTCTTTCAGCTCCCTCTTCTGCAGGTTCCCTGTGCTTTCTAGGGAGGAGGTAATATAGATATCTTATTTAGGGCTGAACATTTACTTATTATCATCACTTCAACTACTTGTGAGTCTCTGCACTGACTGCTGCCACTAAGAAAAGAAACCTCTGACCAAGGCTAAGAGCATCACTAATTTGGACTATACAAATATTTAGAATATTTAGAATAAATAAATATTTAGAAGGCCTTATTTGTTAGGCCATTGGGGCTTTTAAAAATGTCTTACAGTAGTAGTAGGTTACCCACTTCTAGGGCCTATGACCTCCTGAACCATGTGGGTTTTTTTATACTCAAAATTTATCTTATTATTTTGTGTATATGGGTGTTTTCCTATGGGTATGTCTGCTCCCTGAGTGTCTGGTGTCTATACAGGAGAGGGTGTTGGATCCACTGGAACTGGAGTTACAGAGACTCTGTGAGCATCTTTGTGTTGATGTCCCTGTTCCCAGAATCACTTGTTGAAGATGCTGCCCTTTCTCCAATGTGTATTTTTAGTGCTTTCATCAAAAGCCAGGCAGCTGTAATTGCATGAAGTTATATCTCAGTTTTCTATCCAGTCTACTGATACACAAATCTGTTTTCGTCCAGTACCATGCTGTTTGGATTACTGTGCCTCTGTAGAGTAAATTAAAACCAGACAGAGTAATACCTTCAATTGTACTCTTTCTGTTCAGGATTGCTTTGGTTACCCAGGGGGTTTTTTTTTGCTTCCATATGAATATTAAGATAGTTTTTGGTATGACTGTGAAGAACAATGCTGGAACTTTGGTTGGGATTTCAGTGACTGAGTATGCTTTCATTTGGACAGCCATTTTTATTTATTTATTTATTTTTTATTTTACAACACCATTCAGTTCCACATAATAGCCACAGATTCCCATTCTCTCCCTCCCCCTCCGCCCCTCCCCCTCCCCCCAGCCCACCCCCCATTCCCACCTCCTCCAGATCAAGGTCTCCCCCGACGACCAGGATCGACCTGATAGACTCAGTCCAGGCAGGTCCAGTCCCCCCGTCCCAGACCGAGCCAAGCGTCCGGCATAAGTCCCAGGATTCAAACAGCCAACTCATGCAACGAGCCCAGGATCCGGCACCACCGCCCAGCTGCCTCCCAAACAGATCAAGCCAAATGACTTGGACAGCCATTTTTTTAATGCACTTTTTTATTATTATTAGATTTTCTATTCATTTGACATACCAACCACAGATTCCCCCAGCCTCCCCGCTAGCCCACCCCCCATTTCCACCTCCTCCAAGGCAAGGCCTCCCATGGGGAGTCAGAAGAGCCTGGTATATTCAGTTGAGGCAGGTCCAAGCCCCTCCTTCCTGCACCAAGGCTGCACAAAGTGTCCCACCATAGGCCTGGGCTCCAAAAAGCTGGCTCATGTACCAGGGATGGGTCCCGATCCCACTGCCTGGGGGCCCCCTAAACAGTTCAAGCTAAACAACTGTCAGACAGCCATTTTTGTCACATTGATTCTTCTGACCCATGAGCATGAGAGTATTTTCATCTTCTACTGTCTTCCTCAATTTCCCTCTTCAGGGCTTGGAAGTTTTCAATGTAGAAGTGACTTCCTAAGTTAGGGTTATTACAAGATGGGTCCTTTTATCTTTTTCTTTCTTTTGTTCTTTCTTTCATTCTTTCTTCTCTCTCTCTCTCTTCCTTCCTTCCTTTCTTTTTTCTTTTTTCTTTTTTCTTTTTTCTTTTTTTTTTTTTTTTTGAGGCCATTGTTACTGGAATTCTCTGATTTCTTCTCAGTATTTTTCTCATTAGAATATAGGAAGGCTACTCATTTTTGTATGATGATTCTAGGAGTTTTCTGGTGAAATCTTTAGTGTCCCTTAGGTATATAACCATATCATCTGCAAATAAAGATATTTCAACTTCTTTATCTTTTCTGTTTGTACCCTTTTTACAAATATATTATTATTATTATGTGTGTATGCATATGTGTGAATGTATGTGCACATGTGAGGGTGGGTACCTACAGAAGCCAGAAGACGGCGTCATAGTCCTCAGAGCTGTTGCAGCAAACCGCCTGATATGGGTGCTGCAATCTGAACTTTGATGCTCATAGCTGAACAACAAGTGCTCTTAACCACTAAGTCGTATCTCCAGCCCTTATGTCTCTTTTAATTGCTTCTCTTTTCTTATTGCTATAGATAGACTTATAGTACTAATTAAATAAGAATGAGAAAAGTAGGCACCCTGGTCTTGTTCCTGATTTCACTGAAAATGCTTTGAGTTTTTCACTATTTAAAATATTCTGATTATATTAAGTAGATCTGTTTAAGTTGGTTGTCTCATCTTGGTTTAATTTTGGTTACCTTCACCTAGAAATCCATCCATTGCTGTTAGATTTTCAAATTTATTGAAATACATGTTTTTAAGATAATAATTAATGATTTTCTGAATTTCATTGTTATCTGTTGCAATGGCTCCATTTTAACCTCCGATTTTGTTAAACTGGGTTTTATCTCTCTCTTTTTTTTTTTTTTTTTTTTTTTTGGCTAGTTGGTGTGTATGTAGTGGGATAAACATGCAAGCACCTTGATACCCATGTGGGGGTCAGAGGTCCTCTCCTTCCACTGTGTGGGTTCAGGGAATCAAACTCAGGTCATCAGGTTTGGTAGAGAGTCCCTTTACCCAGTGGGCCATCTTGCCCACCCTCTTTGATTAGTTTGGCTAAGGGTTTGTTGATCCCAGTTTTCTTTTCAAAGAACCAACTCTTTGTTTCATGGATTCTTCGCATTAACTTTGCTGTTGTTTGCTACGTCATTAATGTCTGCCTTGATCTTTATGATTTATCTCTATCTGCTGACTTTTTCTAGGGCCTCTGGGAGTTTTAGGCCAGCCTGATCCACACAGTGAGACTCCGCCTAAAATAAAATATAAAAGATTGGTATTATTTCTGTGATATAAAAGAAGACTCATATTTTAGTGCCCATATCATAGTAAATGCTTTGCTAAGCATTTTGAATGCATTTATATAATCTAGTCTCTCCAAACCCCCAAATGGAAATCCTGTTGGTCTTGAGATACAAATTTTAGAAACTAAGCTTGCCAAGTTTAATACCTTATATCAGCTCAAACCATAGTGGAGCACAGTATTTAAATTCAGTCCTTTCTGACTCAAACACCTATTTGTTGTTTGTACACCATGCTAGAATCAGAATGGATATGAGAACCAAGAGTATTTTTTAAAATAATGTTCATTTTTACCCTAGGCAGATATAATCAAATTTATTTAAATAACAAAATTATTATAGCCTATAAATCAACAAAGCTATCCTTTTTATGAGCCTATATCATTGAAAAGCAAAAATACTAGGGCATGGAAAGATGGGTCAGTGGTTGAGAGTACTTGGGTGTTCTTTTAGAGGACTAGGATTTGAGTCCCAACACCCACATGGCAGTTCACAACCATCTGTAGCTCCAGTCAATGGGATCTAACTCTCTCTTCTAGTTTCCCTGGGCTCCAGGCACACAAGCTGTATACAGATATAGATGCAGGAAACACACACACACACACACACACACACACACACACACACACACACACAAAGTTAAAATTAAAGAACAAAAGAAGTATACAGACTATATGAACATGTGAATATAAATAGATCTTATTCTTTTTCTAAGCAGTTCTAGGAATAGTCTCAAAGACTTTAGTTGATGTATACAATGAAACATTGTTAAGTTATCTGTATTTTATCCACAGCATCTTTGTATTGCTCTTGGGTAATCACAAATAAAAATTAAACATGCTACAATAGCTTCGGTAGAGAAGAAATGATGATCGATTGAAATTCTCAAGATGGTGACTGCCTTGAGTCAAGGCATCACTGCTCTGCCCTCTCCCCGAGGAGTATGGACTGTATTCAGACATGCAGTGGTGCTTACTACATTTATTTTTGGTTTGCAGGCTGAAGATGTCCTGAGAAAAAGCTATCAACAGCAGCTGAGTGATGCCATAGCTGTTGTCAAAGGAATGTACAAGGTGGGTTCTGAGTGCCATCAAGAACAAGCTTTGATGCTTGCGTGGACAGGGAGTGGAGCTCACTTTGAGTTCCCAGTCTACACTTTTAGTTTTGAAGGTATGTTTCCTCAAATTTGAAGTCATCTCAGAGAATTGGGGCTTAGACTATTCACACTCACATTAAGTGTACCAAAGTAACACTATATGATGACAGACATACTTTCTAGAAACTGGAAAATGACACTCATTTCCTCAGCAAGTACCCAAATCATCCAAAGTTCTGTGGTGAAGATGCAGCTGGATAGAAGAAAGTCAGACAGTCATAAGACTAGAGTTCAAAAGACACGTCATAAATACACAGTAATCTCCCTAATGCGAAGATGTTGCTGTGTGCTCAATATGGTACTTCATTCTCTCACACAGTGGGAAAATGCATACTTTCGAAGATGATTTTTAGACTTAGTAAACACCTTATGCCTCCCTTTGTATTTACAGCTACAGTCTCATCTTTCATTTCCATATATTTCAATAAATAATTATTTATATTTATGTCTGATTGACCAAGTGATTACTAAATGGCATTTGGCATGTCTGTATTTAACTATGTAACTGCATGTTCTGTGCTAGAAGATAAGGATAGTGCCTTTCTCATTGGTGTGGCCCTTCTCTTAGCTCTATGCATGAGTCATCATTAACCATCAGTTAGTAATTGTGAGTGGATACTTCCCAGAGCCTGTTGTGGATGTTGGTGGTGCTTGCTTCTCTCCCATTCTCATCAGCGTTTCCAACTTTATAGACTTTCCTTTTTCCAGGCCTGTGCACTGGAAGCCAGGCCTGGCCAATGGAACAGTAGGTGATGTACTGTAAGGCCTAGGGGAAAAGATCGGTGCTGATTGAAGAAGCATGCCTTGGTTTGCTTTCTGTTGTGGTGATAAATACCAGAATCAAAGCAACCTGGGAGGAAAGGGTTTGTTTAGTCTTATAGCTTACAGTCCATCATCAAGGAGGTCAGGACAGGAACTCAAGGCAGGAGGCTGGAGGCAGGAGCTGAAGCAGAGATCATAGAAGAATGCTGATTGCTATTTTGCTCTTCATGGTGTGCTCAGCTTGCTTTTTTATACAGTCCAGTAACACTCAGTGGTCTTTGTTGGGAGCAATTATCATGAGCTATTATGGGCCATGAGGCAATTACAACTCATAGCAATTGATAATTCAGATGTCAACCCACCAGAGGAATGGTATAACTGGTCAGCAAGGCTTATGGATCACTGACTATGAAAACTGTTGCTTTCATCTGTAATTTCACTTGTGCAATAACAGCTATGATATCTCCCCATTTACCATGCATTTTTATGTAATGTGTACATATAATCTCAAGATTACATCTCAATCTTATGGACACATATTTGTGGATGGTCAGGAAGACAACTTCTTATTTAACTGTATAATTTTGATGAAAAGAACATCAAAACATACTAAAATATGCTTCGTAGCTAGAGCTATTGTTCCATGTGGACTGTAGACACTTAGAGGTCTTGTTCTCCATCCTTGACTTAGTGACAGGGCAAAATGGCCAAAGAAAGTGTCCTTGGGATAGATTACAGGCAGAACTTTCACAGATTTTATTCATGTGCAAAACTGCAGATGTTTGGCCTTATTGGATCAAAGCCTTTCAATAGATTTATGGCAAACTAGAGTGATATTGCAGGTGTCTGGTCTTGTTATATTATAATCCTTAAAGAGATCCATAGCACCTACACTGCCCTAAGCTTTCTCCACTGGCCCTGCCTCATCAATACCTCCCTGCTCTGATTAAAAAAGCAGTTAACACTTTGTATTTATTTCTACACCAATTTTTAATGCAAGATTTAGGCTCAGTAAACTATGTTTAGGTCCCAAGATTCAGGTGATTAACAGAAAAAGGCTATTAACTGATTAATCATGTCTGGATATTATTAATCACACTTAAGAAATGTTATATAGTACACGTATTCTTTGCCTCTTCCTTAGGCCTCTCATTGGTTTGGCTTTTCCCTTGTAACCCTTGTAGCTATCCCTTTAAGAAATAAGCCAGTGGGCTGGAAAGATGGCTCAGCCGTTAAAGGCTAGGCTCACAACCAAAAATATAAGAAATAAGCCAGAACTTTTTACAACTGCAGCCGTGACCAAGCTTTTGCCAAGCATGACTCGTATCTGCAAAGAATGCTTATCCCTGAGAGTTTGCCTTGTAGTTTTTTTTTATTACTAACAAGTTGCTAATGAATGTATGTATATATACGTATATATACATATATATACATACACATACATATATGCACACACACACATATATATGTGTGTGTGTATATATATATATATATATATATATATATATATATATATGCTTGGGAATTTGTAACAGGTGAAAGAAACCAGAAGAAAATAAGATGAATAAAGAACACATAGAATGAAGAGCATTTGCCTGTGGGTATGAAGTTATCATAAAAATCTTTCATTTCCCCCACTCCTGAGAAACATTTCTCTTATGGAACTCTGTGTAGGGGCTGGGAGCAGGACTCTCAGGCCCTACAGGTCTTGTCTCTCTCATATCAATCATCAATCAGGAAAATGCCCCACAGACATGCCTGTAGGTCAGTCTGATGGAGGCATTTTCTTTTCAGTTAAGATAGCCTCTTCCCAGATGACTCTAGCTTGTGTTAAGTTGGAAAAAATCTGCACAGAATCCTGTCACCCTTGTTCTTTTTCACATTCATATGTTTGTTTATGTGTGGCAGTCATAGGACAACTTTTTGGGGGTGGTTCTGTCCTTCCGCCTTCATGTGAGTTCTAAAAATCAAACTCAGGGGATCCGATTTCGGGGTGGCAAGAACCTTTACCTACAGAGCCATGTCGCCAGCCTCTCCATCTTAATTTTGAGGCAGAGCCTCTCCTAAACCCGGACCTCACTAGACTGGATTGGCAGCAAGCTCCTAGGATCTGCCGGTCTCCACTCTCCCAAGGGCTGGGGGTATTACAGACATGCAGCCATACTCAGCTTTCCTGAGCATGCTGAGGATCCAAACACAGGTCTTCATGCTTCTGTAGTCCTTAATCCATCTTCCCTGGCCCTTGTTCTCCTTTTTCTTTGTTTAATATTACTATGTCACTTTCTGATGGGTAGAATGGTTACAGCAACCAGAGGACTGGGATTTATTATAAGTGCTGAAGGGGCAAGGCAGAAAGACAGAAGTTCCCCAGTGATGCTACTGAGCAATTGATGTAACTTGCCCTTTTGCTTGAGATAATCACCCTCAGTCTTTAAGCCATTGCTAGTTGACTGTTCAGTTACTTGCAGGTAAAAACATCGCGAGACTACCTGCTCTGTAAACAGTCTTTGTGCCTCTGTGCCAAATGGTGTTTCTAGATGAGGTCATGCTGCTATGTCCCACTCACCTGCTCTTCTGCAACATGACCAGAGGCAGGGCCTGGTTCCCCTCCCTGTAGTCAGAGGTGGCCTTAGTTCCTTGATATATGAGCGGAAGAGAAAGTGCAGGACTTCTGAGGCAAGGCCGGAAGAAATCTTGAAAGTTACCTTCAGACTCTCAGAAGGTGGGCTCTCTGCACTGTTCCTCCTGAGCCCAGCTGCCATGCTGAAAGAAGCCCGACCCGTATAGAGAGTCTGGCTCTGGGTACTGGGTCATCGGAGCCAGCTGTTTAGTCATCCAAACTCCAGCATCACACGTGTAGGTAGAGAAGCTTCCGGATGATATCAGCTACCAGCAGTTAGAATTCTTCCCTGTGAGGTTATCGATCTGTGTAGTCATTGCTGCCCCAATTCCCTACCCCAGAATGTCAACCAGCACAATAAACAGCTGTGTTTTATATTGCTACCTTCGGGAAGGTATGTTACGCATTAGCTGGTAAATAGGATAGGATCCTTCTGCTCACAGCAACATGCAATTTCTTGATTATATTTGTCAGAAAGATTGCTTTTCTGATGGTTTTTACTTGCATGGATTAGTCAAAAGTCAGCATAGTGTATGTTTTAGAGCAAATGCTACAAAGGCAAACAGCCTAGGTTCAAATCTTGTCTTTGCCACTTCATGGCTATGTGACTCTAGGTAAAATACATAATCGCTCTGCTTTGCTTTTCTCTGCTGTGACATGAGGATAATAATAGTCCATAGCATACAGACAGATGTGCTCCAAGAGTAAGACAGATTTACATTTACAAAGCATTTAGAATGGTACCTAGATCAGAGCAGGTAAACTCTAAGTGTTAAATCGATAGCTATACATACTCATAGGCTTCCTCTCTTAGTGTTGCTGTGCTTTTCTGCTTCTCACGATCCTATCATAGCGTAGAGGCTCACGGCCTTCTGCCTACTGACTGAGAATAAATAAAATGTCCTTAAAGCCTCAGTAACTACTATTCATATTTGTTATGTTGAATCATATGAGATTCCGCTTTGGGAGTTAAAAAGTCAAGTAACTCTTTTACATGATACCTAGCTTAAATAATTATAGTTATTTTAATAAATCTAAAGCAAAGCAATAAATAACATGAGAAATGTATCTTTAACCAAAAAAAAAAAAACTTGGCATACAATATCTTCAAAAGAATGCTCTATGGTATGATATGCTGGATACTGACATTATGGAGATGGGGTAGGGGTAAGCAGAGAGAGAGAACATAAATAAATCACAAAATATAAGCAGGTATATGCAGAGATAAGCATATATGGTAGTATTTATGGGAATGCCATAAAGAAGAGTTATTTCTGCTAGTGAACTTTGTGAAGACATCACTGAAGAGGTAATACTTGTGCTGGTATGAAATGCTCAGAGCGGGTGGGCAAAAATCTAGCGGGAGTCTAGGCAGACAGTTATACTAGCATATATTGGAATATTTTTTGTTGGCAAGTGATAGAAGTCTAATTTACTTAGTACTAACCTCTTCCTCAAGCCAGTCCAGAACCATACCCAACCCAGGACATAATGTAAAGGAGAGGCCAACCCAGAAGAAGGGGTCTGGTTAAGTG